AACCCCCGACGATTCACCGTTCCCGGACATCCCTGAGGGAGAGCCTGACAACGAACCAGTCGAGCTCATACCTCCTCCTCCAACTCCTCCTCCGGAACCTGCTATGGTCCCACACCCTCCTCAAGCTCCACCCAATGCCGAGCCTGAACCAGAGCGCGAAGCTCCGCCACCGCCTCCTGTCGTACCAGGTGCACCGCCACGTGCTCCTAACCACCGTCGTAACCGTCATCCTACTGTCGAAGACGTACCTGATGTCGATGCTGGTCCTCCACCACAACCTCAGCGCCCTCAGCGTCATGGTGCAGGACAGAATCCGCATCGCAACAGGGACAACTTCTATGGTGACGAACCGCCTGCACGAGTCGACGCCAGGACACGACGAGACGGACAGCTACGTACAGCTGAAGAGCGCGAGTACTTCGATCTGCTCAACACTATCATCAATCACGCTGCGCGCAAGAAAGGCATCCCTCAGTCCTACCGCGAAGCGCATAACTCTCCTATGAGTGATGAATGGTTCAAGGCTGAAGCTTCGGAGTACAATTCGTTGATGGAAAATCGAACCTGGGTGCTCGTACCTCGCCCCAAGGGTTGTAACGTCATCGGATGTCGTTGGGTGTATGACATCAAGCACGATGGTCGAGTCAAGGCTCGCCTTGTAGCTAAGGGCTATACGCAGAACTGGGGAGAAGACTACTTCGAGATTTTTTCGCCTGTATCAAGGAACGAGTCGACCCGCTTCGCATTTGCGCACGCCGCGCTCGAAGACTGGGATATCGACGCCATGGACGTCAAAACCGCGTTCCTCAACGGCGATCTTGATGAGGAGATCTACATGGAGCAGCCGGAAGGATGGGTTGAAGCTGGCAAAGAGGACTACGTCTGTCTGCTCAAGAAGGCCATCTACGGTCTAAAGCAAGCCTCTCGCCAGTGGAACCTCAAAATCCACGACTCACTCATCAAATTGGGATTTGTCCGCACGTACTCAGATGCCGGAGTCTACGTTTATCGTCGACAAGGGGGTGTTCCAGGCGAAGTCACGCTGATTGTTCTATATGTCAACGATCTACTCGTCATGGGCAATTCACGCACGCACATCGACTTCGTCAAGGACTCTCTCAGCAAGCAGTACAAGATGACTGATCTAGGACCGGTGCAACGATTCCTCGGTACTCGTATACGTCGCGATCGCGTCAAACGCATCCTCGACATCGACCAGGAAGAGTACATCGACGCCGTCCTCGAAAAGTTCAACATGTCTGACTGCAACGCTGCGTCCACTCCTCTCCCCGCTGGTTGCGTCCTCGTCGCTCGACAGGATGAAGCACCTGCAACCCTTCGTCGGGAGTACCAGAGCCTCATCGGCAGCCTTCTTTACGCCATGCTCGGTACTCGTCCAGACATTTCCTACGCTGTCACGCGTCTCTCCAAGTACAACGCCAATCCGTCTGAAGATCACATGCGTTACGCCCGCTACGTCCTTCGCTACCTCCGTGGTACCTCGCACTATCGTCTTCGTTATGATGAAAAGGATGGCGCCGGCATGATCGCGTACTCGGACTCGGACTGGGGAGAAGACCGCGACGACAGGAAGTCGACAACCGGCTTCGTTTTCCTGATGGCAGGAGGTGCACTCTCCTGGGTCTCTCGCTGACAACGCACAGTATCCCTCTCCTCCACCGAAGGGGAATACATGTCCGCGTCAGACGCTTGCCGTCAGATGAAGTGGCTTCGCACTTTCGGCCGTGAAGTTGGTGACGATATGTCGAGTCCTACGCCGCTCTGTATGGACAACCAGGGATCGATTTTCCTCTCTGAAAACCCTGCCGTTGACCGTCGCAGGAAGCACATTGACATTCGCTACCATTTCATTCGCGAATACATCGAGGAAGGCGAAGTTACTCTCTTTCACGTTCCTTCTGCGGAGCAGCTAGCGGACTCGCTTACGAAGTCAGTTCCTCTTTCGATACTCAAGTACTTCTGCGAGCACGTTGGTTTAGTTTCATCCGCGTCTTGAACGAGGGGGTGTGTTGAACATTGGATATCGAACATAGGTACATACAGACAGTTCTACGTCCACATGGACTCTGTGAGAGACTTCCCATAGTTCCATATGTCACTTCACTGCCTTGTAGTTCCTTATCTCTTCCATTCCGTTCTTCTACGCTTCTCTCTTTGTTCCCTTGTTCCACTTACGGACTTTCTTTGTCTTGAGCGCACAGCCCGCACAGCATCGTATCCATCTTCTGTCTGGTCTGTTCTCTGCGCCATCTATGTCCTCCATCATTCGCTTACGTATGCAGCTCCTGAGATAGATATAAGGAGGACTCTGGCCCGCACTGCTCTTCAGTCGTTCTATCACTGACTGAGGAGTAAGTACCCCACTCTATGCGCTCCTTTATACACATGCTTACTGTATCTGTAGTCGCTCCTCTTCGTGTGCTTACAGGTACTACTTATGCACTCAATATAGTCGTTCTATCACTGACTGAGGATCGCTCCTCTTCGTGTGCTTACAGTCGGTTCCTTGCCTTACTCAGAGTTCATCAGAAGTCTGCCCAAACAAGTCTGCCCAAACACTTTTGGAGTGAGATTGCCACTGATGCGTTCGGCGTCGCCGCCTGCGGGTGCCGAGATATTCACTTCATTACTCCCGCTACCAACACTGCACAGTGAGCAATGTCGTGAGGGGTCATTATGTAAGCCGGCTCGTGGCACGAACGTCATCCCGAATGCGTATATAAACTTGTGGGAGTTCATTCTAACCACTACTTGCATGAGACCCCGTCACCCGCCTCCTCAGCTCTAGTCCCCCGGCTCCCCGTCGATGTTTTCCGATTTTTTTCTCAAAGTACTCGAGAGGGTGGTCTTCGGCCCCCCTCCTGACCCTGTCCCTACTTTGCTTAACGTCCTCCTCCATCAATTCTGGCCCAGCTGCAAACGAAGACCATGGGCCATCCAATGGCGACTCGACCAAGTGATGACCATGTTCATCGAAACCCTGATCACGGAGTACCACGTCCATTCATCCCACGCTCTGTGTTCGTGCGTCGTCACCCGGCTCGATCACTTCCTGGACACCAAGCGCAACTTGCCCCGCGAGTACATCGTCGCCCACATCGCCCTACCCCTGCCTGCCACCTCCGGTAAACCACCCACTACGCGCACCATCGGCTTCCTCAAGTTCGAGCGCTGCTGGCGGAGCTGGGACCCCATCAGCGTATACGAGCCCATCGAGATCCCGGCCACCCGACGCGAGTGGCACCCCGCGGACGACACCCTCGGCGTGTACGAGCCCGACTTCTGCCCGTGGGCCTCGCGCCGCCCGACGCTCCTGCGCTCCAGCCGCGGCCTGGCAGTCCCGCTCGCGCGCGCGCTCGTCGCGGCGTGCGCGCTGCGCCGCATTCACCCTGACTGCATCGGAGACGCGTACGCGCACGCGTGGTTCGCCCGCGGCTTGTGGGAGCGGCTGGTGGACTCGGACGCGGCGGACGGCAGTGCGGGCCAGGACGCCCGCTCGGAGGATTCAGGCTGCTCTAAGCGGGGGCTCCTGGGGCGTTGTGTGCTCCGTGGCAAGACCCCCGCGACGTTTTTGGAGGTGTTGACGGAGAAGGAGGCGGAGGAGTGCCGGGCGGTCGAGGACAGGGTCCTGCGCGAGCTCGAAGCAAGCCGGGCGGAGGCGGAAGTGTGGTTGGCCGACAGCGCCGCGTGGGACAAGCGCCCTTTGGCCCAGATGGAGGCCGTCTGGGACATTCGGGAGGCGGCGGAAAGAGGCGTGTGGGCGGGGGCGCGGAGCGATCTGGACCGGGGCCGCGAAGCACTCGGCGCCGTGACCGGGAGCGGAAGCGGGAGGTCGACGAGGCTTGGAGGCGACTTGAGGCTGCGATGATCGAGCGAGGTCTGAAGCCTGCCACGTAGAGTGATCAAAGTTGTATGTTGCGTCGTCTTGCACGTCTTGGTGCGATGGCTGGCCGCGTCGCGATGGTACAGTGGACCGAAATGAAGATGGGTTTTTGGATTCGTTTTCTTTACGTTGGCTAGACGCATACAAGCACATCGGAGCTGTCGTCCTCGTCGGGTCACTCGACTCGAGTCTGTTGAGCCCTTCGAGCGCCCGAAGTACGCGCCTCCCGACTGCAGAGAACGTTTTCGCATGGATGAAGGCGTGGACTTCATGGTCAAGCTCGAGTCGCTTCCCTTTTCGCGGGTGATACAATATCGACTGAGGGGTAGCCGTGTACTCGCGAGGAAGAGGGCATCGTGGAATCGCGGGCCAGATCATGAACTGAGCACTATTGCGGCTCTCATGAGATTTATTGACCTCGTTGGTCTGCCGCTGCTGTGGGTTTGCATGTCACCGATGATTACTCCTATTTGTGCCGTTGTAGTCCATATTCACGTCGGATGCGCATGGGTGATGGCGTGACCGAGTACCTGTTTCACCAAATGCCAACAGCGAGTCGCTGGGACCGTACGGCGAACTTCGAAAAGGCAGACGTATGGACCGGTCGAAGGCCAGCTGTATCATGAACGCGACGGGCTGCACGATGACCGCGTTCTCGCAATGCCAAAAATACAGAGGATTAGTGTACAACACATACATTTATTAAGGTCACCGTCCGGAGTCCGTGATCCAGGACCACCATCCGAAACCCGGATTGCCGTAGCTGCTCGGGCGGTGCTTAGCGGAGAAGCCACGGGTAGACAGAGATGCCAGAGGTCGGCGACTGTATAAGTGTCTCCTCCGGCAATACGGAAAACTTCACACACCTGCATCGCCGCAGGGTTTGCGCCCGGCATCGGCATGTCACCAAGAAGCGGCAGTGGTCCTCCCCAAAATAAAAGTACAACCCTGCAGAGCGCAAAAGACATGAGTCAGGGAACACGCCGCACGAGCACACGCCGCAAGACACTCACCGGAGTCGCTTCCCTCCCCCCACACTCGCGCGCCGCCGACCTCGCGCGCGGGGCCCGCACCTCGCGCCGTCCGCGCGCACACGCTAGCGGATGCCCGCGGCGGCCTCGAGCCGCGCGACCTCCTCCTGGAGCGCGTCGCGGCCCTCCTCGAGCCAATAGATGTACTCGCGCGCGCGGAAGAGGATGCCGCTCTTGCCCTTCGTCCCGCGCCCGCGGCTGCCGCTGCCCTTGGGCCGGCCGCGGGTGGGCATGCCCGAGCCCGGGGGCGCGCCCGCGGGGGCGAGGAGCGTCGTGAGCTGCATGTAGCCCTCGCGGATCGCGTTGCGGCGCTTCTGCTCGGACATGATGTGGTTCAGCCGCTTCTGGGGCGTGGAGAGCAGCGGCTTGGCGGCGCGGGACGCCGCGGCCGCGGCTGCAGACGGGGTCGCGCGTGAGGAGGAGGTGGACGGGGAGCGGCTGGGGGAGCGGATGCGCGGCTTCGCTTCTGGTGGGGGTGCAAATAGGGGAGGCTGGGCGGGCGGTGCGGATCGCAGGGCTGTGGGGGACTGCTGGGGCTGGTGCTGTGGTTGTGGAGGTTGTGGAGGTGGAGGGTGCAGATGCTGATCGCCCTGGGAGGAGAATAGGTTGGACGATGGCGCTAGCTGGTCGAGTCCCGGCGGAGCGGTCTCCTGGAGTGGATTCTGGTATATATCTGCGGGTACGGCGAAAGACTGCTGGAGGGTGTCGACATTGAGATCCCAGTCGAAGTTGTCGAGGAAGCCGAAGATGTCCGAGGTTTCGGAGACGGAAAAGAGCTCGTTTGAGGGCGGGAGTGGGGGCGGGGGCGGGGCGACGTGCAGGGCGGGGTCGAAGAGCTGGAAGTCGGCGAACGCAGGGTGCGGGAGGCCCTGCGGGTCGCGGGGGGAGCGGGGGCGGGCGGTCATGGTGGGCGGAGGAAAGCCGGATAGCCGGCGGAGACCGGGCCCGGGGGACGGAGAGCCGGGGGCCGGGTGGGCGTGCGGGCGGCGAGGCGGCGGGGGGACGGCGGGGAAAGGGCGGAGAGCCCGGTCGGCAGGGACGGCACGTGGGGGCGCGGGGGCCCAGCAAAGGCGGGATAAATGGCAGGACCTCCGAAGCCCCGCCCATCACCCCCATGTCGGCCCTCTCAGAGGCGTCCACGCCGGCCCAGGACGCGGGCCCTCCGTCGATCGACCCCAGCAGCTCCAGCAGCACAATCACCAGCTGGCCGGCGACCTCCAACAGCAACAGGCCGCCTTGGCCGGCCAGGCCGACGGCCGCAAGCGTGCGTATGCCGCCTCCCCCGCCGCCGCCGTCCGTGCTGACCTCCTCCGCCCCTCCGCCCTCCGCCCCTCCGCCCCTCCGCCAGCCAAGGCGCCGTCCGTACGCAGGGCCTGCACCGCTTGCCACGCCGGCAAAACCAGGTGCAGCGAGGCCCTCCCCTGCCAGGTATGTCCCTCCCCGAGCGCCCTCCCCGCCGCCGCCCGACCCCCGTCCCGCCCCGCCTCACCGCCGCCCGCCCCGCCAGAGCTGCCTCAAGCGCGGCCTCGGGGCCTCATGCACCTACCCAGATCCCGACACAGATCCCCACCAACAGAACCAGGCGCAACCCGTACGTTCTGCTCTCCCTTTCTGCGGCCCCTGTTCCCGGGCTTATCCTACCCCCCCGTCCCCGTGCGCAGCCCAGGTGCCGCCGTTCCCGACGATGCCCTACCCCCCGCAGATGCAGCAGGGGCTCCAGCACCCGCCGTACTACGACTACAGCAACACCTTCGCCGCCCCCGCCAACACCAGCACGGCGCCCAGCACCAACGCAAACCCCAGCGCCTCCACCTCCACCTTCCGGCCGACGAAGCGACCACGCCCTCTCACCGAGGAAGAAACCGCCGCCATCACCCGCAACTTCACCCGCGGTGACTTCTTTGTCGGCTCGAGTGCCCCCGTCCGCATCGACCCCCGGCTTCCTGTCCGCCTCACTCTCGCCGAGGGCGATCAGGTCCATTTCTCCATCGGTGAGGCCGTAGTATAGCTCCTCCTGCGTCCGCCTCCCCTCCTCTGCTCCCTCTCATCGCTGCGCTTTTGTTTCTCTCTCTCTGTCTCGTGGGCGGCCGTTCAGCATGGACACCTGTCTGTATTGTTTTCTGATAGCTTTCGTTGCCTGCATCAATCCCCCGTGTATATCGTAGACCGTTCGTGTCGTGGTTTGTGTGCATGGACGTTGGCTCTCGTGCTTGAAGCCCAATGTAGGATACAGTGTTCCCGTCGATTATTTGTATATCGGTGATGCTCCAAGGTGCTGCGCAGGTGCCACATTGGAAATTACATTGCTTATCAACTTGATGTTGTTGCCAATTCATTACTAGCACGACCCCAGTGATGAGAAATGTGAGCGCCCGCGAGGTCAAACCATGAGAATCTCAACCATTACTGCTGCGATAGTCTTCGGATTTTTTACAAATGCTGACAGTGTTGTAAGAAAGCGATTTGCAACATTTCAGAGGAAACGGGTACGTATTGCGCCCCCAGTGGGCGAACCGGCCGCGGACCCTAGTTATGAGAAATTTCGCCGAGGCTTGGTCACGGCGCGGGTCACGCAGCCGACATCAACTCCGCTCGGCTAAGCTGTCGGATACGTCCAGTGATGACAGCATCCTCCCCGACGGCAACGTCGGAGACTGAAACTCACTCACGTTCTGTGGCTGAAGTCACGCTTGAACTGACCCAAAGTGCGTTTTCACCCCCTCCCGCAGATATTGTGCCAGAGAATTCGAAGCAACGCAGCCATGCTTCGTCCAATGCCCCTCGCGCAGCTTCCACCTAAGCGCTGGTCATGGGGTCGTAGCCGACGGGTATCAAATCCTCAACCTTTCTCATTTGAGATATGTTTGCCAAAGATCGGGCTTGTTTCTGCACGGAACGACGTCGTTCTTTTTGCAAACGAAATTTAACGCATATTGCTACCAACGTGTGAATTTTCAACATTATCGGACGAGGGACAGGACCGTCAGACCAGATTTCTCAACACTGGGGCCTTTCTCATCACTGGGGTCGTGATAGTATCCCGCAAATGTATGGACGCAATGGACGCAACAAACCTCATCCTGGTGCTGGTGGAGCAAAAAGAGGATTCGAGCCATTTTGACGAGAGCGGGATTCAAACGACCAGGTTTGCGGGGGTTCAAATCCCATCGCCCGATTCTGGCGCCTTAGACCGCTCGGCCATCTCGCCATAAGCTGTGGGGGTCAACGTACTTATATAATAACAACGCACTTGGCGAAACAACATGTACCTGTTCATCCACTGGGTGTATCATTTTTCTCCACTTGCACAAGCGAAGAGCATCAACGGTAACAGAATGGACCCGAGGTGTTCACGTGTGGCACAGCCACAGGGATTTGCGGGCCGATCGAGCCAATCACCGAGTGGCCGTCTACCTCCTCGGGCCACCGTGTCTCCCGCCAGCTTCCCGTCCCGCTCGCTTACGCACTATTTATGCTCGGCCTTACGTCTTTATGGAACGTCTGGTGATGGGCCACAGCTGCACACCGCGCGCGTACCCGGTGCTAGATGTCCTCGAGGGCCGTTCTAGCGAGGGGGCATAGTCCGGCCATGGCGCCAGAGTTACGACCCAGACGTAAGAACCCGGCCATCGCCAGGTGCTTCGTCTCTTTTCTCATTCTATCGTCCTCTAATCCGGGACACTGATCGATACCGGGCCTGCGTCCAAGGTCTGCTCGCGACTCAAATACCCTGCGTCTGCAACGCATGTGCGTCGGATTTTTCCCTCCCTCTCCTGCCTTGCGTCTCCGTTTCCAGCGCTCACTTGGAATGCAACCTCTCCAGGACTCTGGCCATGCAAGTGCGACCTTGTCACAAAATTCGTGTCAGGAATCAAAATCCGTCTCGACAGCCTCCATCCTGCCTCCACCCGCTCTCGTCAACGCTAAGCCAGTAACCCCGAAGGACGAGACCGTCGTCGCTGCTGAACTGGATGCATACCCAGAAGGGGGCGGGTAGCATGGAGAAACGTTCTCGGCGCGTAGGTCGACTTCTTTCTCCCCGCCAATTGGCAAATGCTCACTTTGTGCCCCCAGCTTCCTCTTGCAGATGGGCTCAGTTGGGTAACGACCCGTTGTCAGCAAGTCACCCAAGGTTACACTAATCCAACTTCTAGTTACACGAACTCCTTTGGGGTTTACCAAGGTACTGTATGCGGCTTGGTCTCAACTCTGACCACCGCTGACTTTCATTTAGACTATTATAACCGAGTTTACTTGAGCAACACATCGTCCTCGACCATCTCGTGAGTGCCCTCGATTGACTGCTGAGATGCTGACAACGCATGCGCCATTCTCAGGTGGATTGGCAGCATCTCAGCCTTCCTGCTCGTGCTGCTCGGCATCCCTGTCGGTCATCTCTACGACCGCGGATACTTGTAAGTGGGAACGCGCGTATAGAACAAAGTAGTGGCTGAACCATTTGCTTAGCTACCACCTTCTCTACGGCGGATGTCGTTCTCTCATTCTCTACCTTTATGCTTTCCCTCGCCCAGCCCGGTGCCTTCTACCAGGCATGCGAACGACCGATTCACATTCGCCGCCCCGTCTCACATTGCATCCACAGATCTTCCTCGTCCAAGGTCTCGGTGTAGGCATCGGCGCCGGGATGGTGTACATCCCGAGCATGGCCGTCGTCTCTCAGTACTTCCACCGTCGGCGCGCGCTCGCCATGACCCTCGTCGCCGGCGGCGCCTCGCTCGCGCCGGTCGTAAACCCGATCATGCTCAACAACACGCTCGACCGACTCGGGTTCGCGACCGCAACCCGCGCGAACGCGGCGCTCAACACCGGGCTGCTCCTCGTCGGCTGTGCGCTCACGCGCCTCCGCTGCGTGCCCGTCGCGGAGGAGGGCGGCGGGAGCGGGTGGCGGGCGATGTGGACGTCCGCGCGGGCTTCGCGCGCGACCCGCCGTACGTGCTCACCGTGATTGGGTGGGTGTCCCTTGCGCTTTCACCTGCGACGACGTTACATAAGACTAACCATCGCGACCTTCCCCCTCCTCTCCCGGGTCGGCAGGATCTCCGTCTTCATCGTCGACTTCTACTTCCCGCTCTTCTACATCCAGCTCGACGCCATCCAGCACGGACTCAGCCCCCAATTCTCCTTCTACGCGGTGAGCTTCTGCTCCGGCCCCGCTCCGGCCCCGTCCGCTGCCGTCCCGCAAACCCAGTCCGCTGATCCACCTTCGCGATCCCCCGCCCGCCGGCGCCCGCAGCTCGTGATCCTCAACGGGTGCAGCTTCGCGGGGCGCCTCCTCAGCGGCGCGCTCGCCCACTACGCCGGGGTGGGCCGCGTCGTCACCGCTTCCGCCGTCGCCTGCGCCGTGCTCGTCTTCGGCATGATCGGCCTCCACACCGTCGCGAGCGTCGTCGCGATCGCGTCCATCTACGGCTTCTTCGCCGGCGCGTGTGCGTCTTCCTTCGTCCGCCCTTCCGCACGAGGAGCGCGGCCCGCTGACGTCGCGTGCGCGGAACCCAGACATCGCCCTCCTCGGCCCCTTCTTGGTCTCGATGGCGGGCAGCATGTCCGAGACCGGGTCAGCGTCCCATTCGGACCGCCGCCGCGGAGGTGAAGCTGACTGGTGACCGTTTTCGCTCCCGCAGGCTCCGACTCGGGATCGCGTGGTGCATGAGCGGCTTCGGCAGCCTCATCGGTGCGTGCTGTGGTCCCTGCGCACATACGGTGCGTAGCGTAGCCCGGCTTGTGCTGATCGGTGCGCAGGCACCCCCATCGAGGGCGCGCTCCTCACCGGGGAATACGTCTGGTGGCGTCCGGCGGTCTTCAGCGGGGTGCGTGTTCTGAACCTCAGCTCTCACAGCCGTCGCGGCGCATCCTGACGCGCCCGCTCCAGGTCGTTGGCATGTTCGGTGTAGGCTGTCTCGTCGCCGCCACGGTGCTGATGCACAGAAGGGAGGCTGACACGCGCAGCGAAAACACGTCCGTAGACGACAAGGCCTGAACACGGGCGTAAATCCGGTCCGGACTCTGCGGTGATATAGAATTAGGTATCTGGGTCTCTCTGTCGTCTCTGTATATGTATCATAGATCGGGCATACACGATGAACCGTTTCCGGGAAGTGGTCGAGCGTCAGCACATCAATACTGGCTGGGGTGGTCGTCGCCGAACATGATCTTGAGGTTCTCGATGCTCTCGGGGTCGCTGTCGCGCTTGCCCTTGAATGCCTCCTTGACGATCGCGGTCTTGCGCTTCTGGATCTGCAGGATGCGGCCTTCGATCGTACCGCTCACCTATCCGACGTTCAACGTAAGTGATCGCACGGCGCACTCATAGAGGACGTAAATCTCACGATGAAATGAGTCACGTAGACAGTCTGGTTCTGCCCGATCCTGTGGACACGGTCGATCGCTGACGCGCAAACACGTTCAATACGGCCGCCGTTGTTTAAATGGCAATGGGACGGCTTACCTTGATTCTCCGTAGCGGCGTTCCACCAGCAGTCCATCTAACAGCACAGCATAAGTCGTTGGTAGATCAAGATGTCAAAGCGTCCTCACCATGAACACGTGGTTCGCATTCGTCAGCTGCGTTCCCAAACATATCAGCACTTGGTTCGTAAAATATGAACGATGATAAACTCACGTTCAATCCCACTCCGCCTGCTTTCAAACTGATGATAAGCACCTTCGGCTCACGGGACGCCGCCTTGAAGCTGCTGACCGCCTCATTACGCTTTTTGATGTCCATCGAGCCATCGAAGCGGTGCCAAGGCAGACCCTCGCGTTCCAGTACTACCTGGATGAGGTCGAGGAAACTGGTGAACTGAGAGAATACGACCGCTCGGAAGCACGGATCTTGGTCGCGTAGGCGGCCTGTAGGGCGTCAGCGAATGAGGGAAATGGCGTTGACGTGCAGGCGCGTACGGAGGTGCTGGACCAATGCTTCGAGCTTCGTGGACGAGCGGAAGTCGTTGCGACGCAACGTCACTTGGGTCGATGATGTTGGTGTCTCTGAATCCTTCTCGCCGCCGTTCGTTCGCGCCCGGACTACCTCCAGCAGGTCACGTTCCTGTAAGCGGGGTGAGCGCAAACCAACTTCTCAACGTTTTTGTCGCATTACCTTCACTGGACCACGGGAACATGTCGGGCACTTGCCGTCTTCGCCCTTCTCCCGGCATTTTTCGATAAAGGCCACGATACAGTCTTTGCAGCTGTGACGGACTATCGTGTCGACAACCACAAACCACATAGAGACTATTAGAGTGCAACTCACGACTGGTGCATACACTCAGGCAAGATGACCGGCGTCTCCATAACGTCGAAGCAGATGGGACATTCCGCGTCGCCCTCTTGCCCAAGGTTTGCGAGAACGCCTTCGGCATAGACTTTGCTATCTCCCACGGAGTTTTCTCCCTGCCCGAACTTCTCGATGAGCTCTTCCACGTCGATAGTACCGCTGCCTGCTGGTGCCTTCGAGGACCCACGTTCGCTTGATGACAATACGAGGTTGGGGTGGAGTACTGCGCGTCGCAGCCTGCACATCTCGATCAGTTGTATCCTCGAGGTTTCAAATGATCACTACCTACCGCATCAACATTGCGAGAATGTGAGTGTAATTGCGGCTGACAAGGCCCTTCTCATTCAGGTTCTCGAAGTCCTTCTTCGCATCCGAGTACAGCGAGTCGTAGATCTTGCGTTCCAGCGGAGAGAAGTCCAGTCGCTCGACCTTGATCTATGGGGCTGGTTAAGGTGGCGTTACATGAGATGTGTACCTCGGACAGACCTCTTTCGCGGGAAGCTCTACGATCTTCTTGCCATCGGAGTCAAGCATATCCTTCTCGCGGCGCAGAAGGACGCTCTCGAGGATGATTTGCACGACCTCAACGGCCTTCCGGTCGCGAGCCAAGAAAGGTAACGTGATGAAACTGGAGGTGCTGTGAGCCCATGTTGCGCAAAGCCCACCGAGATACCTACGATCGGAAGAATGTGTAGTTCGACCATGGCGTAAAATCCAAGAATTTCCTGTGATCGCAAAGATGAGTGTGGTGTCCTTCTAAAGACACGGCGGGCTTACAAAAGCGAGTAGAGATCCTCCAAGCGGTTGACAATGGGAGTTCCAGTCACAGCCCATCGCCTGCGTGCACGAAGAGCGTAAACTGCCTTCGCCGTTTTGCTCGTCCGAGACTTGCAGTGGTGGGCTTCGTCGAGTATAACACCTGATACAGATGATCAGGCTGTGTTGACGATGAGAAACTATTAATAAGGACTTACGCAACCATTCGACTGAGAGAATGCAGCGTCAGTCGTGTGTGATATGATTGTCAGAAAGATGGGCGTACTCTCATATACCGAAGACGAATGCTTTTCATGTTTAGCGTGCTCAGACACCAAGGTACCGTACGAAGTGATGATGACGTTGATGGCATCGTCGTCGTCCATGGCTGAGTCGAGGTCCAGTCGATTTTGGCCATGCCACACAAGGATGTTCAAAGTGCCCGGCTCACTCGAGCGCTCAAGTTCTTCTGCCCACTGCGCTAGCAGTGATGTCGGAGCGACAATGAGCGTGTCAGAGGGACCCTTGCGCCGCTGAGGTTGGGGCTTCGCGGCTACACGGAATGTGTTGTTCAGTCGGAGCTGTTTCGTCTTGGAGGATCCGTTGGCATCATCATCATTCAGGGGTTCCGGTTCGCGAGCCGTTTGTATCAGCGATGACAGCATGATTGTCTTACCCATACCCACTGCAGGTGATTATCAGTAGTTAGATACTAGCAAACGCAAAGCAACTGACTTTCTAGACACGCAAGCCCCAGACACGAGTGCGGTCAGTGCCGAAGAACCAAACAGTGACAAAAATCATACCATCACTAACAAACAATAGTGTCAGTCGGGTACCAGTGTGAATATGCTGGATAACTCACGCAAGGATGCCGCCTTTGCATTTCCGCTCTGCTTTCGGGAACTCAAGACTGAGTTCGCCTGAGTATTCGTTGAAGTAGAAGAACTCTTCATCAGCCGTGAGGTCCAGTACCTCATTGTGTGGGTCCATGGGGAAGAGATACCTATAATGTATGAGTCCGTCTGCCACAGCGTTATCGAACTGTTCACTCACTGTTTCCACAGTGGGTGCAAAGATTTTGCCTCTCGAGCGGATGCGGCACCCGTCTCGATGGAGTGCATCCACCTGTGGACCTATCAGTAAACGGATGTGACGAGTCACGGTCTGCTCACAAGAGAGCCTGTTTCTGGTATCCTCGTAATTTCATCGTGAAAGATTCGGCGGGTTCCATCTCACCCATATCCCTGTCGTTCTGCTGTGCCCTGTAACGTGGCTGTCAGTCTCGCACGGTGTAAGACGAGATAGAGCACGAACTTCTGGTAGATCATGTTGATCTGGTCCTCTGTCATATCGCCCTCGCCGTCATCGTCGTCACCATTCCCAGACGACTTTGTCGCAGGCGGGCGAGGTCCTTGAGTCAGCACTTGCAAGTCCTGCTGGGTCAACTTCCCTCCAGCCTTTGATGACACCCCCGCCTTCTTCACGGGCTTTAAATTGATGCGCTTGAACAGGCTGCCTAGAGACCGCTTGCGTTCTCTCAAAATCAGCTCTTCTTCGGTCTCACGCCCTTCGTTGAACATGATCTTCGACCTGTCTTTCTCTTTTTCGTTAGACGAAATAGACGGTGTTCGAAATGCGGAAGCTTTGATAAACACAGACAAGGACAGAATCAAGTTCGCGCCGGTCGTGAGTTTGGCGGGACAATCGACCATGGTGCATTTCCGGAACTCGACGATATCTGTATGCGATAAACGACTATCGCGCGAGCTCTACGGGAAGCATACGGACCTAGATCAAGAAGCCGCGAGACCCAGGACGCGACGTCTTGCGGAAGACGTCCGAATTCTAAGCGCCGCATTAGTCAAATCAATCAAAGGACGCATATATATACGGCGCACCAAATCCTCTGCTGTTGGTAATGCGAACGACAGTGTCCTGCTTTTTTTCCCTGAAGGTTTGACAGGTGCAGGCTTGAGCATACTCGCGATGGTCAACTGCTTCTTGCCGCACTGGACTTCTCTTTCACCGGCTTCTTGACCGGAGGGG